AGGACCAGAACGGAAAGATTTGAAGTGAATGAAGATATTATAGTTGAGAATATGAATAATTCAGATACTAACCCAATTCCAGCGCCAATATCAACGACGTCCTTGTTAGTTAAGTGAGGTAGACTGGAGAGGATATCTGCTCTGAAAATGAAAAATGAACACTGATGATTTATTCTCTTTCCCTGAATCCACTGCCGAAGCCACTTTTAAATTTTATCAATTTTTAAGTACAATTAATCTTTGAATAAGTAAAAATTCCAGATAAAATTGATAAGAAACATTGTTAATACTCGACAACGGCGCGCGTTTTTACTTTTTCGGCCGTGTGAGACGGGCGCGATTGTGCGAGCGCGACTTCGTGATTCATTTTAGATCACGCCGATCCACAACCACATCGTTTAGCTCGATATTGATCGAATCCGAGAAGAACCCGGTCATTCACATCAGGTACGCATAGAAAGCCTGAATATACCCGAAAGAAAGTGGTGTGTTCCCCTTGAAGGATTTAGAAAGCTCACTCGTGGCCCTTGCTCCCTTGGACCCAAAGCCCTTGGCGGGAGAGGCGCGCGGACGCGAAGCGGCCAGTTTTTATCCGCTGCGCGACCGCACGCTTACGTGTCATTTCGTTGTGACAGAGCTTCAATTTAATGCCCCAAATTATATGAGTGAGCCTTCTCTCAGTTTATACGAACAAACTATAAATAAATAGCCACAGGAAAGTAAAGAAAAAATCATATGTTTCATTTTTCATAATTCATTTCTCAACTGAGGTTATACACGTTGGTAAATAAAAAAGGCAACAGACCTGTCACTGGCTTCTAAATCATGCGCTGTTTGATTGAGCATCATTGAGTTGGTATCGGGCTTGTCCGAATATTTGTCCCAGAACGTTTTGAACGAGTCCCGTCGAACTTGGGCTGTCATTGCACTGAAAATTCGCGTATGACGGATGGATTTAGTATGCATTTCTCGAGATTCGAAACGAGGCAAGAGAATCATTGAGGAGCGGAAAGAAAGCAGGAGAATGGCAAGTAGTTCACTAACTTTAGCAGTAACTAGCTTCATCAATACTATCGCACAGGTCAACACACATCCAATTCTCCACAAGGCTCCAAATAAGGATCGTGTCTGTAGCGCATTCGGGGAAGTTTAGCCCTTTTAAGAAGCTCCTCGTTAATAAAATGGACTCTGAGACGCTCATTTCTTTAGGGGAACATTGAAGACAGGGCCGATGGAAGGTGACACTAGGACCAAGCCCAGGAGAGGGGAGGAACGCCAGGGAGAACATAGATTGTTCACAACCTCACACACATCCCCTCCGCTCCCTAAGACTTACCAGGAAGGTCTTTCGGGCGTGCCAAGCTTTTTCAGAACGGTATTTTGCATTGTATAGGGGCACATGTAGGAACCACAGAACCATGGTTCAATTTTTCCTGAACGGCCCTCTGAATACCAGAAAAGGGGTCCCTAGTTCGATTCCTCGTGGTGACAAATTTTTGCATTTCGAGTTGACGTTTCAAAATTCGTGCAAAATGGAGTTAGCATAAACAGTGAATGCCATACTCATAAGTACGATCCCATTTTGCGCGAATTTCGAAACGGAAACTCGAAATGCAAAAATTTGTCACCACGAGGAATCGATCCAGGGACCCCCTTTTCTGGTATTTAGAGGGCCGTTCAGGAAAAATTAACCATGGTTCTGTGGTTCCTACATGTGCCCCTATACAATGCTAAATACGCGTTCCGAAAAAGCTTGCACGCCCGTGAAAGACTTTCCTGCGTTAGCAAAAGTACAGTGTGGTGATTGAATTCCTCTCCCTCCCCCCGCCACAACATGGGCACCAACGCTGGTAAACTACACGTGTACAGACAGATAACTGACATAAAAAGCGGCAACATCGACTAAAAATAAATATAAGAGAAGAAAAAAGGGAAGCCACACCTTTATTGGACATGACTTGGGTCCCTTGTAGGAGTAAGCTTTAGGGGAAGAGGGAGGGGACACAGGGTGGGAGGGGGCCATGTGGCGCTGTTCGTCTGCAGCTCTACCTAACGGTACCAAACGAGACATGCGTGGCGTGGACAGGAGGAGTGAAGGCAACCCAGGGGTGTGAGGGGGTGCATGAGCCAATTACAATATGGCAAAATTTGAATCTGTGAAAGCGCCGCGCCGACGCGTGCCCCTCCCCTCCCTCCGGGATCCGGGTTTCACCTGGATCTGAGTTAAAGTCACTACAAATGAGAACAATAGCTTCCTAGGTGGTTGTGAGAGTGGAATGATTGACCGCTGCTGGTCACCAAACATCACAAATGTGGCATGCTGTTTATCCATCTAGGCCGCTCAGTTTCTATGCTATTTCGCAATCGAGCGGCATCGCTGTAGAAACAAACAGGGCACTCGTTAATGAATCGCCAACCCCAGCTCATTTCCTCCTCTTGCTCATTCATTTTTTCCTTTTTTCTTCAGCATGAAAAGACGAAGAAAGGAAAGGAAACTGACAAAAACTTCGAGAATGAGGGGTCCTTTACTGGACAATGAGACCTTACAAGACGTCTAAAAACATTGGACGCCGACAGAGACGGGAACAGACTCAGGAACAAGAGAGCATGGGAGACTAGTGAGACCCAGGCACCATCACATTCGTGGTTGGTTCGCCGCAGGGATGCAAGTCATGAAATATGGTGAAGTTCCTTTTGATTCGCGGAAGTGACGGTAGCTTCGCGGTTGTGTGTTCAAATATTTCTCTCACAGAAGGGATTGTTTCAGTGGAACCAATGAGGGGGGACCGCTCGAGAAATATGCTGAGCAAGTCAAAAGTTGCCCATTTACTACAAGTAACCAGCCCAGTAACCACGCTACCACGCCCCACAGCCATACCCGGTAGCCCGTCCTGTCCCGATCCTCTCTCATCACTACTGTCTCTCGTCATCTCGTCGTCAAAATTTCTCGTTTGGACACGCATTCTTATGGGTTTGACAGACACATGAAAAAGCGGAGGGCCTACTTAGAGCCCAATCATTTACTTGCTCTTTCCTTCTTTAACCTATGTTTATAGTTTAGCTAGCCTATCCGCATCTGGATGAACCTTAAGGTCCGTTATTCTTATCCTCCCATACCGCAAAATCTGATACTAATGCCCAGCGACAGACAAACAAAGGACTTGGATATCCTGGATAAAACTGGTCCTTCAGACCGTAAGTTGGCAGGCTCACTTCACCAGGCGAGCTTATCTTTAGGCGGACTCATCTAAGGATTTGAATATTGAGGTCAACTTCACTGACAAGTTTCATATCTGACACATCCTCTTTTTAACTCTACTACTACTTGACTCTGATTCCTATACGGGCTCGCCGACTTGTCGTGACCTTCTCTGGCACCCCAAAGAAGCATCGCAAGCAGCAGTAAAGCTGTTAGTGCGTGAAACCTCGGACGGGAACGAGAAGGGGAGAGAGAGCAAGGCGATAATGTTCCAAGAAGGGCAGCAACGATATCAGTCTTTGAATGCATTCAAGAGCCTTTAAATACCCGCCAAAAGGGGGCGGAGACCACGGGAATAGTTTATGTCAAATGCACCGAGTTTATCGAAGAAATGGTGAATTTCAGGTGGCAAGACTGGAACTTTTCAGGATGCTCATGGTTTTGGGAGGAGGGGGAGGAGGGACATTCAAAACAGCCATTTGAAAGCCGCGATGAGGTGATACTAGGACCTGGCCCAGGAGAAGAGAGAATTGCCAGGGAGCGGAAAATTTGCTCACACCACGAAATATTGCTCCTTTACTAATGTCCCTTCCCTTCCCTGAGGTTTATTGTTAGTCCCAAGCACTAAAAGTGGCTCACTCCCTTGAATGTCCCCCTCCCCTCTGACATGAGCTCCCTCATCAAGAACTGAAGGACACTATCTCGCTGTTAAAGCTCTTTTTACTCTTTCTTGTCCTATTTTTGAAGAACTACTTCACTAATGAGAAATAAAGTCCAGAAAGTTCAAACTGTTACCTTTCCATCCTCTGACACCGCCTCTGGGACAACTTTAAGAGCGTAACTTCCGGGATAGATATGGAGCTGAACGAGGAAGACCTGAGTAGATGCGAGATTCGCAAGCAATGGAAGCTAAGTGATTAGAGATCAGCTCCCGATAATACGATAATAGTCCGTGATATTTCAGCGGATGCCCTTTAACACGTTTCGTTAAGTAATACAAGGTGCTTTGAAAGAGAATGAAGGAATCTATCGAAACACTTTGAAATGAGATT